TCTCCCGCATTTATCCAGGCCCTGAATATAACCACGCCTTCTCTTCTAATCATATCTTCATTGCTTTGGATCAAATCAAGATATAGCCCCTCCACGTGTCGTACTGACGGCAGTTTTGAGGACGGTAATTTTCGCGCTTGCAGCTCACCCACGGCAGTGCTGGTAAGTTTACCAGATATGATAATCAAAACTTCTGACCCAATTGTTCTTTTTGTGCGAGCAGTTGAACAACTCAGTTTACTTCCTTCGGGATTTGACCATATAGTAACGTGATAATTTTGGGATTATGAGAATGACCATGCGGTTAGTTCACGAGTTTGTTGGAGTGGCAGACCAACAGGAGGTTATGGTGGGTTTCAATAAGGCATCGGGATTTACCTAACGGTTACATGGTGTGCGACGATGTTGAGTTCGTGAATATGAATAGCAGGTTAGTTCACGGTTTGGTTGGATTCCGTGATCACGCAAAAAATAGGAATTACTTTGTCGGTGCCGTACTCACTACTGATTGTAGATGTGAGAACCCAGTATGTGCGTGGTGTAAATCCTATGGCTACGATAACTGGCAGCATCGGCAGCTGCATGAAATTATGTAATCCGTGTTTCTTTTCAAAAAGAAGATATATTTTGATACTTTCTTCTTGTCTTTTTTAATTATGTGAGAAAGCAATATCGTAGTTGTCATTACAGGCCCTAATGTATCGTCCCAGATATCAGTCACACAATGCAGGTACCACCCGATTCTTCCTCTGGAAGACATTTCCGTTAGCGGTGTGCCAAAAGAAGGATGGTCGTATGGAAGCGCCAGAATAATTGCAAGGTTGTGTCAGACAACGAACAGATGAAAGAGAAAAATACCGGAAGTCTTCATAGTTATCCGGCGCACTCGATTCCGTTCGTTCTCAAATCAATTTTACCTCTTGAACCGGCCAACGCACTTAACCCACCACAACATTCAGCGCAATAGGGGAGAGCAGAAAGAATGAGTTGAAAAAAGGGTAGTAAACGGGTGTCAAACTGCTTCATTTGGAGAGGCAATATGACAAACTCCCAACCGGACCTATACTCACCGCCATTCATATCAATACCTGAAAAGCTTCACACGACATTCGTTCCCGACAGCTAGTAGCAAGAATAAGGAGAACATCTTTGACTATAGTACTGTGATGATATTATCTAAGAGATGTTTATGCAAAGACGCCAAATAGCCTGTTGCTTACCCTCACCGCCTCCTAGATGTGGTCAAGTCAAGTTCTCATTACTTGTCTAAGAGGGCAATTCTTTCATTGCAGCTGTTTCTCAAGTTTCTGTCCGGTCGCCCCACATTGCTGCTGATATCTTTCAATGACTTTCTCTGTTTTAGTTCATGAGGTGGACAACCTCTCACAATTTCCAGTCAGTGATGACGAATTTTCTTTACAGTCATCAGTGCTAGGTTTAATGATTACAGCGGTTATTAGCGTGAGTAGACATTCAGTAAGATCTTCATAAATAGCTTTGGTGCGTCCGTTTAAGTGAAAATCACTTCTCCATATGTTTTGCGCAATACGACGTAACTGCAACAGTCCATGTGTAATAAAAATAATAAAAAAGTAATCATTCTCTTGTAGTACCGCACCACCAAGGGGAGAATGAGTGTGGAGATACCGCCCGATTTTAGACAGGAGCATTTGAAATCCGAGGGTAGAACTCAAAACTCCGACCACCTGAATAGTCTCTTATTTTGAGTACCGAGGGATGTGATTTACGTTGGATAACATGCAGCCTACGAAAACAAAGTATCAATTCACATTTTGCTTGTCAAGGGAATATCGACTAAGCCAACCATCATGCGCCTGCAAACGCTTTTCTAGCCATTCTCGGGCGCTGTGAAGTTTAGCTAATTTATCCTTAGGACTTAAACAACACCGCGAATGATTTGTGCATCAAGGGGAACGAATCAGCTCATCTTCGGGCAGAATTATGTTATGCGGTTAAACGTACATTCCAGTTGAAGGACACCATTACTTAGCAGAAATTGATATGAGTTCAGCTGAGTTCACCTTTGAAACAAAGCTAATGTGAAGATGAGAGTATTTGTATCCATCGGGACGGTGGGTTTCCTGGAAGTAACACTAGGAAGCCCGGAACCAACGCAGAACAATAAACTCTGCCCAAATCTGAATGGGGAAGCAGGTAAGCATCCAGGCCAGTCAATAATTCATTCAATTTAGCTATAAACTATGTTCATGCACGTCGCAGGAGAATCACCGAATGTGGTCAGCGTTCAGGCAACTCATGAAAGCACGATCGGTGTTGATAGGCTTTCACTAAGCGCCTAGAAGACAGCCTGGATCAGTGCCAGATGGTGCTTTCTAAATGGCGCGGTAGCCGTTGTAAATTTTGCACTAGTACTCACACCCACTCACCCGCTTGTTGTTGTTCCCTTCTGTAAGTATTTTGCCAGCTGGTTGTCGCCATTGATGGTTTGCCTCAGCTGAATACTCAAATAGAACATAGAGGTGACTGGAAATCAGGAAATGCATACAACTGAAGAGCTCCAGTAGGAGCTAACAGTTCAGTAGCTGTCTAGAAGCATTCCACAAACGTTAGAGTATTCCAGCTTATGTTGCTAATGGTATTGTAGATAATGATGTGTTTGAAATAGAGACGATCGTCCAGGATAAGGTAGGAATTCAGTTGCATCAACTAGCGATCAAACGTTTGTTGGAAAAACACATTCCATGTCACGTAAAGATGGCGAGCACTATACGGACCATCTTCAATTCATTTTATTTTGCTAAAATTACAAAACAGACTACGTGTCCCTAAGAACGGATATTGTGCACAGACTCGATCAGGTGTTCGGCCTCATGTCCGGCTTCGCAAGGGTTTATTACATGAGTTGTGAGCTTAACTACATCGAGGATTGCAGAAAGAGGCATAACAGTATCTCGACTGGGGAAGCAGTTCGAGCTTGAAATTGAACGATTCACCACGCATTACAAGAACTGAGTATAATACATATCTAGCACTTTTTCGGAAGAATGAATGTGAATGCTTTGAAATGAACTGCTGTGCGGACAGTGAGGCATTTTAAATGGTGGCGAACGTCCAGGATAAGACAGGATTCTGATTTCAATAAATATCAATCCTGGAAGTGGAGGAAGAGAAAATGATCGAGACGGTTTAAGGAATTTTCGAAAGCAGTCAGGCAACTTGTCATTGCTTGTTGAGAATCCATCGGAATTTTATAAGGTATTCAGGAGCAATATCGCAGTCGTCATTGCAGGACCTGGTGTGTCTTCCCAGATATCAGTCAGACACTGCGGGTACCACCAGATTCTTCCTCTGGAAGACATTTCCATTAGCGGTGCGCCAAAGGAAGGATGGTCGTATGGAAGCGCCAGAATAATTGCTAAGTTGTGCAAGACAACGAACAGATGAAAGAGAAAAATACCGGAAGGCTTCATATTTATCCGGCGCACTCGATTCCGTTCGTTCTCAAATCAATTTTACCTCTTGAACCGGCCAACGCACTTAACCCACCACAACATTCAGTGCAATAGGGGAGAGCAGAAAGAATGAGCTGAAAAATGGTAGTAAACGGTTGTCAAACTACTTCAGTTGGAGAGGCAATATGACAAACTCCCAACCGGACCTATACTCACCGCCATTCATATCAATACCTGAAAAGCTTCACACGTCATTCGTTTCCGACAGCTAGTAGCAAGAATAAGGAGAACACCATTGACTATAGTACTGTGATGATATTATCTAACAGATGTTTATACAAAGACGCCAAATAGCCTGTTGCTTACCCTCACCGCCTCCTAGATGTGGTCAAGTCAAGTTCTCATTACTTGTCTAAGAGGGCAATTCTTTCATTGCAGCTGTTTCTCAAGTTTCTGTCCGGTCGCCCCACATTGCTGCTGATATCTTTCAATGACTTTCTCTGTTTTAGTTCATGAGGTGGACAACCTCTCACAATTTCCAGTCAGTGATGACGAATTTTCTTTACAGTCATCAGTGCTAGGTTTAATGATTACAGCCGTTATTAGCGTGAGTAGACATTAAGTAAGATCTTCATAAATAGCTTTTACCAGTATGACGCATTCGTTTAAGTGAAAATCACTTCTCCATAAGGTTTGCGCAATACGACGTAACTGCGATAGTCAATGTGTAATAAAAATAATAAAAAAAGTAATCATTCTCATGAAGCACCGCACCACCAAGGGGAGAATAAATGTGGAGATACTGCTCAATTTTATACAGGAGCATTCAAAATCCGAGGGTCGAACTCAAATATCCGACCATCTCAATAGTCTCTTATTTTGAATACCGAGGGACGTCATTTACGTTGAATGACCTGCAGCCTACGAAAATATAATTTCAATTCGCATTTCGCTTGTCAATGGAATATCGACTGAGCTAACCATCATAGGCCTGCGAACGTTTTTTTGCCATTCTCGGGCGCTGTGATGTTTAGCTAATTTATCCTTGGGACTTAAACAACACCGTAAATGATTTGCGTATCGAGGGGAACAAATCGGCTCATCTTTGGACAGGATTCTGTTATGTAGTTAAACTTACATTCCAGTTGAAGGACACCATTACTAAGGGGAAATTGATATGAGTTCAACTGAGTTCACCGTTGAAACGAAGCTAATGTGACGATGAGAGTATTTGTATCCATCGGGACGGTGAGTTTCATGAAAGTAATACTAGGAAGCCAGAAACCGCAGCAGAAAATAAACTCTACCCAAATCTGAATGGAGAAACCGGCAAGCATCCAGGCAAGTCAATACCTCAGTCAATTTAGCTATAAATTCTGACTGTTCATGCACGTGGCAGGAGAATCACCGAATGTGGTCAACGTTCAGGCAACTCATAAAAGCGCGATCGGTGTTGACGCGCGTTCACTAAGTGCCTATCGGACTGCCTGGATCAGTGCCAGACGGCGCTTTTTAAATAGCGCGTTGGCGGTTGTAACTTTGGCAATGGTACTCACACGCACTCACCCGCTTGTTTTCGTTCACTTTTGTGAGTATTTTGCCATCTGATTGTCGCCAGTGATGGTTTGCCTCAACGGAATAATCAACTAGAACATAGAAGTGACTGGAAATCAGGAGTTGCATACATCTGAAGCACTCCAGTACGAGCAAACTGTTCAGTAGCTGTCTAGAAGCATTACACAAACGTGTGAGTAGTCCAGCTTATGTTGCTATTCGTATTGTTGATAACGAAGTGTTTGGAATAGAGACGGTCGTCCCGGATAAGGTAGGATTTCAGTTGCAACAACTAGCGATCACAATTTTGATGTAAAACCACATTCCATGTCATGTAAAGATGGCGAGCACGATACGGGCGAGCTTTAATTCATTTTATTTTGTCAAACTCACACGACAGACTACGCGTCCCTTAGGGACGGATATTGTGCACAGACTCCATCATGTTTTCGGCCTCATATTGGGCTTCACAATGTTTTACTAGCTGAGTTTTGTGCTTACCTACATCGAGGATTGCAGACAGAGGCATAACAATCTCGACTGGGGAAGCAGTTCAGGCATGAAAATGAACGATTCACCACACATTACAAGAAATGAAGATAATACATATGTACCAGTTGTTCGTAAAAATGACTGTGAATGCCTTGAAATGGACTGCTGTATGGACATTGAAGCATCTTAAATGGTGGCGAACGTCCAGGATAAGACAGCATTCTGGTTTCAACACACAACGATCGGGAATGTGGAGGAAGAGAAGATGATCGAGACGGTTTAAGGAATTTTCGAAAGCAATCAGGCAACTTGTCATGGCTAACACCACTTTGCGCCATTAACCTGAACATCATTCAGGGTTGGTAGAACGTCGTTCCACTTATCATGGATTTCGCCGATTGTTTGAAACGGGGTTCTAACTCTCATGTGTAGTTTCATTCCATGAACACTTTCAACGAAATTGGTTGGTGAATCAACGCTTCGGTTGCAGAAACACGCAGCACACTGAGTTGAGCAACAGGTAATATCTGCACACAGTTAGGGGTTAGTGGAAAACACCATGGTCTGTCAGCCACAATGGACTGACCAGCAGTGTGATTGGTTATCGCTTAGACAACACACAACGTCACTTATAGTTCAAAAACTAGAGAACCACTTTACGTGGCAACGTTTTGACTGCCTGCACGAGTGCTAACATTTCAGATGCAATTTTCAGTGAATTTAATCTTCCTCTGTGATACCTGTGAGCGATTCACACAGATTTGGTCTCATTGTGTACCATGGCACCGAAATGTATTGAGCATAATATATTCAACGCCATTGATTGGTTATCCGAAAATGGCAAAGGCTAGGCTTGGAGATCTAGATTCCCGGACTACCTACTTTGATACACTTAGTCTATGGCACTTGAAGTCCCTAGTCAGCTATTTTAAAAGTTCCTGTTATCTCTCAAAAGTAACGAAAGGCAAATATCAGCTCGACAAATGGACTCATTTTCATAACGGTTTGGTTTTCCATGTGACTCAACTGAATCTCCCTGTGACATGTGACTCACCATATCAGTGTGTTTCATCACGTGACTATGCGTCGTCCTCTTATTCACCTGCTGGTACTGCTGATCCAGTGTACGCTTTCTAATGTCTTTCTGCCCGCGGGTAAGAGGCAGGAACAAAGGGAGGCTACGTCAAACATGCGGATCCACTTACGCGATTATTCAAGATGAGCCCAATGTAGGCAAAACCAGTGGAACCATCATTGTTGTGAGACAAAAGAGGATTGGAACGACACAAACTACTGGTTACTCAGTGAGCGAAGATGCACACCAGGATACCAATGACATACAACACATGGTAAGGATTCGGCGCCCTAGGGCGATCACCGCCATCGTCACCAACGAGAGCAACAACAAAGGAAGACACTAGTGTTTCAATGCCATACAAGCATGCCAATTTATTTGTATCGAGAAAAGGAAGAATAGTGGGACAGGATGTAAAACCTAGGACTATCCTAGAGCGAACATCCGACATAATTACACCTCCGAAACTCAGTTAGACAATCTGGACTGAACCTGACAGCATGAACGCTACTCGCGTCGCTAAGTCGCCGTCTAATTTGTTATCTCTAGCCGAGGATATGTGGGGTTAATTGCGCCCTCTGAGGATCGAAAACACTATAAATATACAAATATTCCTTTGAATCCTTAATGCCCTTCTGCCATGTCGGGTTCGGTCCTTCTCTAGTTGAATAACAATCTGGATTTGGAAAGGAAAACAACACCCCTCTCATTACTCAGAAATTGGCCGTTGAGAAGCAAAATTCCGCCCTGTAAGTCAAGCCTGTATGTAGGGGAATTTCCAGCCCTAATCACGTTTCACGAAAATTTAGGGAAATTTCCACTGAAGAATTACACATGTCGTCACAGCGTCAACCGAATGTAAGTAGTTCAGGAGGAACAACAATCCACACGCCGAATGAACTTTTTATTTGCGAATTTCTCTGGCAGTCTGTCATCAGTAATATGGATCCCGTGTATCAAGAATCAGCGACGTTATATCATGACTTAAGGGGATAAATAAGGCTGCTGGTTGGCCGCCGGTGGCCGAAGGGTTAAATATTTGCAACTATTAGGTGCACCACTAATGAATCCCAATATGAATGGAACAGCTGTACATTGCCCTTGGCGTTTCAACATAGACTGCTTTATCATCCAGAAATAGGAAAACATCTACATACCAAGAAAGGTTCGCTCTGTCTCCCTGGAAGTAAAGAAGACAATGTGGTCTTGGCAGCAGGATTTCGGCTAAAGTCCTCTTCGTGACGTTCTTCGTATCATCTAAACCTCATGGGTGACCGTATACGACCAGCTTTTTTGTTTATGATGTCCACCTTTGCTGAGCAGTTTAACTGGATCAGCTGCAAAATCATATGAATTTAGCGATCGTAAGCTTACCAAAACAAGTTCTATGTGACCTTATCTTTTAAAGAAACTTGACGTGGCCAGCCAAACGTGCGGCAGAGGCGTCTGGACCACGTAGCTTCTGCTCCATTTTTTGGTTGATATGTGGTCTAGTGGTAATTATATACTCTCTTTTATAAAGAATTACTGATGAGCGTGCGCTCACATATTAATCTAGGCCCTGCTATACGCTCACAGGTTGGCGTCCTGTTAAAAACCTGTGTACTGTAACCGTGGTTACCACACTTACCGCTCCACTCTGAAAGGTGACCATGACCAGTTCATCGGGATCACTGTAAGTAAACAGGAATGTTAAGGTTGACACCAAGAGCAGCTTATTTGGTGGCGTAACTCGAATATCGCTTTGCCCAAGTTGGTGGATATAATCAGCAGCTGAATTAACATCCACTCGTCTGTCGTTTGCTCAACCACATGAATATGGGCTCGGAAAACCGATTTTTGGACGTATGACGGGATATAATAGTTGCTATTGTTACGGACACGAAAGCTATTGAAAGCAAATTTCCACTGTAGCTCGCTTCATCATGTTTTCATTGGAACGGCCACATTAAGCATTTTCGAAGTGACATTATAGGTGGAAATTTGAGTCGGCTGCCCCTTCAAACCTCTTTGTTATTATGCGGGAGAGAACCATTCCGTTATAGCGGTCCCTTTGGTTAGATTCGTTGTGTGTTGTAGTTTTGTTCTGCACTTCCTGAACTTGATTAGCGCTTTCGGTAGTTTCTTTCTCTGCAACATTTGTTCATGGCCTGACTGATCGTTTCCCGGTTCCTTTTTAATCGCGGTCTGCCTTCATCACATTCGATTGGCTGTATATCTGACCTCTGCTTTCGTCGCCGTGGCATACCTCATTGAGAAGAAACGAATAAATATGCAAACCATGATCTCTTGAGAATTTCGTTAGGTGAGTGAGGTGCTCGCCCAATACCTTACAACACAAGTGGGCGGAATTCGTTTACCAAACCACTCATCATCGGAGAAGCCAACCTTCGCCGACCTCACATATTTCCTTACTCAAAGGGTAAGAAAGCTGTGCAGTCGTTACGGCCTGCTGGCAGAATCCGTTATGCAAAGGGACCAAGTTTTGGGCGATCAATCTGCTATAGATGCAGGCAAGAGTTCGTGTCTTTTGGGCCAGTGGAAAGATGGTTCACCGTGAGTTCATTTGATGCCTATTTTCCGTGTTCCGATGGCGCCCACCAAGCAAATGACTGCGAACCATAATATCGATCGGGGTTTAGTCGGTGCTGAGCAATACATCACGCTCTGATACATTTGAACTCACCGAATAAAAAATTAGAATTGTTTCGTGTAGTCACAATCAGGCGATGGCTGCCGGCAATACGGCTGTTTCCCTAGGTCTACCAGTATTCTCTGTCATAATTCGCTGTTCAAACGCGACATAGCGATTCGTCGAACGCCACATGAAATGCAGACAATCAGTGGGCTTTGTTTAGCAGTAGGAGAATCTGGGTGTTTCGATGTGTTTCCACTTCACGGTGGTGAGTTTGTATTGGGTAAATGTGCTTCAGTAGTACCTGACATCCTCCCGTCAATAGTTGTGGATTCACGCTAGGAAACTGCAGGCCGCTGGCCTCTGTGACGTTCCAGAAATTAACTGGGGCCAGATCAGCGCTTGGGAAGTCGGAAAGAGCTGTCTGAAGTAGAGACACTACTGTGTTGGCTTAATCTTGGACCGCTGGGTCTAAGCAACGGTGTAAGAGTAGCATCCAACTGCCTGTCGTCAGTGGAGCAATCACGGCAGTGCCAGCTGCGTTTTTCACACGACGCCGAATTTGTGGAGATCGATTCCTTGGGAAAACTCCATCGGTGGGAGAGACCAGCAGAAAAATGTATGACCGCAGTGATGTAACAGTTTAGAGGGCATTTCGTTGTAATGCTACTTTGGAAAGCAGATCGAACAGAGGTTCTGCAAAATACCCGACAGCCTTATCGCGAGCACAGTCGTTCCAAACATTTGTGTGTTGGTAGTCTGCCCAACGGCGTTGACACTTCCGGTTCACGAGTGTTGGACATTTTGAATCTTTCTAACCAAAGAATGGAGTTAACGAGGAGCTACTTGATACCGAGGCTGACACATACGCCTGTGCTCGGACAAGTTCAACGGTACGGCTCCAAATGTTTGACAGCTACATCAGGCAACAAATTCGCCACCAGCTCCGTCTACCAAAGGACACCCTGATCTGAATCAGTTGGGCTTGAAGTTGCAGAGTTGCGAAAAGCTGCGAGTTAAATGAACTACAGCCTAAAACGTTGTTCTCTGGAGAATTTGGTTAGGTGCGTGAGGTGCTCGTCCAATACCTTACAACACAAGTGGGCGGAATTCGTTTACCAAACCACTCATCATCGGAGAAGCCAACCTTCGCCGACCTCATATATTTCGTTACTCAAAGGGTAAGAAATCTGTGCAGTCGTTACGGCCTGCTGGCAGAATCCGTTATGCAAAGGGACCAAGTTTTGGGCGATCAATCTGCTATAGATGCAGGCAAGAGTTCGTGTCTTTTGGGCCAGTGGAAAGATGGTTCACCGTGAGTTTATTTATTTTTTCCGTGTTCCGATGGCGCCCACCAAGCAAATGACTCCGAAACATAATAACGATCAGGGTTAGTTGGGTGCTGTTATTTGATTGGGACTTCCTAAGGTCACAGTCAGTGACTTGTTTTCGCTGGCCATTGTGGTCTCTCTGCAGACATAAAACATTTTTCTGCGTGGCTCATCGCGTTGTTTGTATATTTTTCTATTTAATCTCACACTAGACCCCGTAAGGCGGACAATTTTTGCCAACACAGTAGTGTCTCTACTTCAGACAGCTCTTTCCGACTTCCCAAGCGCTGATCTGGCCCCAGTTAATTTCTGGAACGTCACAGAGGCCAGCGGCCTGCAGTTTCCTAGCGTGAATCCACAACTATTGACGGGAGGATGTCAGGTACTACTGAAGCACATTTACCCAATACAAACTCACCACCGTGAAGTGGAAACACATCGAAACACCCAGATTCTCCTACTGCTAAACAAAGCCCACTGATTGTCTGCATTTCATGTGGCGTTCGACGAATCGCTATGTCGCGTTTGAACAGCGAATTATGACAGAGAATACTGGTAGACCTAGGGAAACAGCCGTATTGCCGGCAGCCATCGCCTGATTGTGACTACACGAAACAATTCTAATTTTTTATTCGGTGAGTTCAAATGTATCAGAGCGTGATGTATTGCTCAGCACCGACTAAACCCCGATCGATATTATGGTTCGCAGTCATTTGCTTGGTGGGCGCCATCGGAACACGGAAAATAGGCATAAAATGAACTCACGGTTAACCATCTTTCCACTGGCCCAAAATACACGAACTCTTGCCTGCATCTAGTAGAACTAACACAACGGAGTCAGAGTACTCACCTTCACTTACCCGAGGTAGAAAGAGCACATTTAGTGAGACTGTATATCAGGGCTCTAGCAAGCACATGAGACCTCCTTGAGACCTTCAGCTACTCCATAAGTGGCTAATTCAGAATGGAAATCTCAGAGAGGGTGACGTCATTTTGGTAGTGTCCGAAAATCCCTCCAAAGGAAGGTGGCCGTTGGGTATTGTCACAGCGTGATATTGTGGGTAGCCGCGTGTAACGTTGAAACCGGCCTTTGCGTCATGAGCAGACTCGTGTCGTTGGCTAACGTAGCATGCTGGTAGGCGAGAGCTATCCGGACAACTTAGCTGTTCGCTCACTGACCGTCGGAGGAATTTTGGCCGGCTGTGTTGCAACTTCATACGTATTTAAAATTGCCTCACATCATGAACGACTGCCTTCCGGGTTAAAACTTCGTATGGACCGCCCTCTTTGGACTGATGTAGTTGGCAGGACATTTATATTTTCCGTTTTCCTTACCGCGCAAATCGTTTTCACCACCACTGTCATACTATTTTTGTACCAAAAACTTGGTTAAATGTAAATTTGTTTATTGCATGAGTTTGCGGCCCGCTGTCGATCACGCGTTGGTTGTTGATTCATGTCGGCTTTGTTGCCTTTTAGAGTACCTCACCCTTTGTCAAGAACTGTTGAGGTTTATGATTTTTCATCCCGTGTACTTACTTTCAGCTTTATAGTGCAGCACATATGTGTAGCTATTCGCTTGGAGTTGTGCCGGTTTGGTCGCTTACCTTGGTGCTCGTTGCTTAGGAACCCGATATGATCGTTACACTCTGGTAATAGCAAAGAGGTGGAGAGAGCAGATGAGTCATGATTGAAGGAAATTTTGAAGCAGATTCACCGAACCGGATCGGTAGAATACCATTTTGATCGGGGGGCATCCAGTGAGAGTAGTGGAAAATAACTTGGAGTTGCATGGCAAACTAGACAGGGGTAATAATAAAACGTGAATACAGAAATGCTTGAAGTGGCTTCAAGGGCTCAGGCGGCGCTCTTAGACAAGTGTTGCGAACTTGTTCTGGTCCGATAAAGGAGGCAGCAACAGGCTCATTGGCATCTTTGTGTAAACATATGTCAGATTATTTCATCAGAGTACTTTTGTCGAAGGAGTTCCCTTTTCTTCTTAGAATTAACTATCGTAAACGGGTGACGTGTGAAACTATTAAAATCTTGGGATGGATAAAGGTATGCTTAGGTCCGGTCCGTAAGTCGTCCAATTACCTCTTGAAATGAGACAGTATGACGTCTGATTTCACCCTTCCTCAATTTTCCCTTCCGCTTTCCTCTATTGCGGTGAATGTCGTGGTGCGTTAACTGCTTTGACCGGTTCAAGAGACACAAGTGATCTGAGAACGAATGGTATCCCGTGAGTCTCGATCACTATGAAGTCTTCGGCATTATTTTACTTTCATCGCTTCATTATCCCAGTCAACTCTGCAATGATTCCGGTGCAATCATGCAGCCATTATTCTTTTCAATGCAATGCTACACTGAAGATGGATGCGGTGTTATGTTGTGGATGGGAAGATTTTTGGGAGGGTGAGTTGTGCTTAGTTGAGTTCAAGTCATTTGAGATGAGTTGAGTTGCTTTGTATTTAGTTCAGATCAGTTCAGTTCGGTTATGTTCAGTTGAGTCCAGGTCAGTTCATTTTATTCAGTTCAGTTCAGTTCAGCTCAATTCAGTTGAGTTCAGGTCAGGTAAAATAATTGCCTTGAGCATCCGCCACGACCATCAGTTCAGTTTCAGCTCAATTCAGTTGAGTTCAGGTCAGGTAAAATAATTGCCTTGAGCATCCGCCACGACCAGGGTGTTGACGTTTTCTAAAGTGACACGGAAAATCGTCACGACGGTTTCATGTGGTAAACACTACTAACGAGCTTAGTGAAGCAATATTCGGCGAGGAATTCTGGCTGAAATTAACGGTATTGTTCTTCAAATCGAACAATTTCCAGCATCATTTGTTAGTTTCGTGGAGTTCACATAGTTCCACTCATCTTCTACACAGCTGAAGACTTTTGCCTCTTCTCTGCCAGCAGTGAAGTAATTTATATCATGACGCTTTAAAGTGTCCGAAAATTAGATTCGCTGATAGTCGTCAAGTCCTCTAATAACTGACCTTTCTTATTCTCGGGAACAGTAGCCGCTGGTCATTCAGTGTGCCTCAATGACAATCTTCCACACTCTCATCATAGTTGTAACTTTTTTTCTCGGGAATGCTAAATTCTGTTGGTCTACGTTGGAGTGAATATTGTGCAAGCACATATCTCTGTGCCTTTCATACAATTATCAGCTTGTGCTGGACGTGTATGATCCTCGGTCCGTCGTGCGCGTGGTTTATATATCGTTCGCATGTCTGGAATGATCCTCAGCTGAGATTCTAATATCGCTCTGCCTTAAGGTCGGAGAGGTAGCTCAGCACACAACCCATCCAATGGGGCCGTGCAAAGCCGGATACGAAGCCGCAATCCCCGTCTAGTCTGTCCACAGCGTATGCTCCTAACGGACATGAAACGTGTTTGTGATTCTACCAAAACAAAATGAATCGCACCTGGTCCGTATCGTGTTTTGCCACCGTAACAATACATTGGTTGTATTTTTCATCAAACTAGATATCAAGAAATTGTTCCGTATGAAAGGAAGGAATTCAGGTAAAACCTTTCGGAATGACGCCCGATGTTTCTCATCAACCTGGAGACGTAATATTGAGCAACGCGCAAGGATCTCAGCATGTCATGTTCTGACCGGATTCATACCTGTAACAAAAATGACAGAAGTGAGTCACATCCCCCAGTTAACACCTGGGTTTTCATGTTCACAAGGAAAACAATAGAATAACAATCAGATTATCTGTATTAGAGTGAAAGCGTTGTCACCACATCGCTGGAGATAGCTCAGTGTCGGGGCGCGAACTTACTCATCGGGGGTCCGCGGTTGCTGCTGAACCCTGACATTTTGATTGCACTAGAACTGGATGTTATTGCAATTCGCGTGCTTCTTCCGAGTGAAACTGTACTACACCCAAACAAATAGTCTTCGTTTTTTTTATATTTTCCCACCAAATACTCAGGCAATAACGTGTTGCGCTAAAACATCGGTGACCTGATCTGTACCCGAACGAACGATTCATACTGTCTACCGCGATTCACGAAGAAAGTACTGAATATCTACTAATGCCAGTTGCCTTTGTAGGCATGGAATTCTAAAATTATTGATAGGCAATCAAACTCACCATTCATACGAAATTGTGAACTTTTGTATTACTTTTGTGCGGAGACAAAAATTCTATGTTAAATGGCGGGAAGCAGCTTGGGCGATTGATCACAACCGTGGAGAACTACTGCAGTGGCCATCTGGAAACAAGAAGTAGAATTGAGTGGCTTGTTGAGCAGTTCTAAGTCAACAAGCCAGGATTAAAGTTCAGTGATGTTGCTCGCCTTACATTAGTTGACTATCAAGGCCACGGTTGGAATTATCCCTGGCGTGGTCACGGAATCCACACAAATTTTGAACCAGTCTGATTTTCGTAATCATTGATTTTTGGTCTGTTCGCGGAGCTCGGCAGTTGGACTGCAAACGTTTGATGACCAATCGAGGAGACGTCGTCAACACGCCGCTACCGGAAGCTAGGCGGTCAATGGCATCTTCAGTTTCTTGTTACCGACCGCTGTGCGAGCGCCTTCACAATTGAAGTTGGCCGAGGATTTGAAAGAATAAATAGTACATGGCCCCGTAATTGGCATGATACATCCGAGGATCTCCCGAAAAGATACGCCGCACGGCCGACTTAACGGAGATAAATGGAAATCTGTGATTTTCAAGCGATATGCATAGCCGGGGGTTGTGTAAGTTTTAATACCGCCTTGCCCCATTGGAAGGTGTTTTCCTAAGTGATTTGTTGAAACCGTTTACAGCATTGGTTTACAATTGCGTGATGGTCAATGGATACATAGGTAAGAAGAAAAAGTTTATTCTGTTTTTAAAAAATAAGGTGCAGGAGACAGTCTTAATTCCCCGTCGTATTGTCGGCGACCATGGCGCTTTGTCTTGCTTCAGCGAGAGCCAATCATTTTGATAACCAGCCAAACGGTTAAGTGCTGAAACCACTGACCGGGTCGTCACAGGTTCGGTTCGAAACTTTCTGGAGTTCTGTGAGATGCACACTTGCGATGAAGCGCAGTAAGGATGAAACGACTTCAAAATAATTCTCAATAATTCCCATCGATATTACTTACCTCCATAACAACAGATCTAGTCGTATCGAACGTTTAGTTTCGATCAGAACTTCAGTTTTCCAAGCGTGCTAGATGTTTGACAAGCTGCCCACAAGCCCTGAATATGATAAAAGGAATGCCTATGGTCCAACAACACTTTAATTGAAATTGCGTCGCACTGACCAGGTAAGTCGTGATGCGGTGCTCTCGTAACTTACTGAATACTGCCTCGTACCGAGTGATTTCCTCCGTGCGCCTTGGTGTAAGCTGGGTTGTTGTATCCAGGTTGAAAATGTCAACAGTTACTACAGCTCTACACAGTAGTCACTGAGACCTGCCCCGAGTTAGTGGCTAAAAGGAGCAGTTGAGCGTGTATTGTTCAGGCTACCCAATAAGTTACTCTACCAGTTGTGAGTGGCAAAGGAATAAAAATATAAAACTAGATTGATTATACAATGTTAAATCAATCAGACGGAACATATTGTTCTCGACTGTGCCTTTCAAAATAGTCCGTCGCTGGCATAGGTCAACCAATCATCCAATCATGGTTGTCCAACAGCTGTTCGTCGTGTCCGAACACCTCCCACATATATTAGAGTCTGAAGATAGCCTGAAGTGTTTTGATAATAGAGACTCGCGAATGACCGTTGTATGCGGGAAAGAAATGAGAACAGTCAGTCAGAGCATGTGGCCATGTTTGTATTCGTAGACGGAAATAAAGCGGTTATGCCACTGACTGAATATATAATGCCAATTAAAGATACTAAACAACAGAAACTGCCCCGAAATGACTTGGAGAATTTAAGGTGCGCAATTGGTGATTGGTGGATGTTACCTCTCAACAAGATGGCGGTTTGTTTAGTGGTATTCGTTTGGGAAAATTTAGACCATCTGTCTGAATGGAACTCCAACTTTATAAGAGAATGCCTTGTCTTGTATAAAAATTTACTTTTCTGTGAATATGACAAACGATCGGTATCGGAGCACCAGGTGAGTCACTACAAACTACTTACCATGTTTGATCATGAGATCAATTTGAACATTAACTCTCGGGCCACATCTAGTTTATCAAAAATTTTTTCAATAATGTCAGATCCACGATAGTCCTTCCAACGGGATAAGTTACCTCAATGATGTGATCATAAGTTATATGTATCAACCTGGAAGGAGATTAAAAATGCAATACACAGATATCCAGAAGGATTTTTCTTCCCATCACAGCATAATTTTGTGAAGTCTCCGTTTAACACATGGACACTCTTTGGCAGATTAAAGCATTCTGCGTTTACAGGCAAAAGTTGACATCAGTGAATGTAACTCAGAAGCATCTGCGTTTGATAGGTCCAGAGAATCAACTCCACATAAAGCGAAATATCGTAGCACAACAAGGATATGCTGTCCACAAGCAACACCGATCGGTAAATGTTGTTCTATTAGTTGGCACCCGTCCGCTGCCCTTTTTAGTGAAATATTACGGTCATGGAGGAAATTAATGAGAGGACAACTGTTTGCGGTGCTTCTAGACAGAGTTCCACTGTGCAAACCGCTTCATGTGGATTATAGGAAAAACGTCTTCAGCATCAAACCAATGAAAAACCAACGGTAACCTACCTGATGCCGATAATTTAGCTAGTAGTTGAGTGCGGTGACGAGGACAACGCAGTTCTTTGACGGCTTGCTGTTGAATATCGGTGAGCAATTGTGGACACCGGCGGCTTCCAGCAATGCAATATGGTCGATGTTGAACAAGACCACACTACGAGGCGAACAACGAAGCATGATATTTAGGATTACATGAAGCTTCATCTGTCCAGAATTTTGTACTGTGCGCTTAGTTGGAATCGCACTTTGCCTCACCCATGTAATGCGATGGTGTGGAAAACCGTCCACCGCAGAGCTGGTAGGTCTGCGAACCAGGGTATGATCGTCCAGTTCGATCACATTGTTCAATTACTGATCATTGAAGCAAAGTTCCCTCAACAATGTGCACGTTGGCGATTTGTGGTGTTTTGTAGAACAATCGTTGAGCGCGTAACTCATTCAGACATTGCGAAGCAGTAAAACGGGTTCGCAAAAGGTATCCACGTATCGGACGGCCTGGATGATTACCTCTCCTGATAAATTTGTTCGGTGAGGAGATTTACACAGTTGTTTTTGCATCGAAAATCATGGTGAAAATGTGTGCCTCGCAAATTCGTATTTCTGAGGCTAACCAGCATAAAACTTGACACACAAATCTGTTCCAAATATGTGGCGTTCTCCAAAGCCGGGTATTTTCTCACTGCGTAAATCAGCGGTTTCATGGAGCTATTGATTATCTTAAGTGAGTGATACCGAAACAAAGCTCTGACTAAAGAACCAACTTTTCTTTATGGTTCCGGTTTATACAAAAATTCTTTTGCTAAGCTCCCCCAAATTAGTAGACGTTTGCACTGGGATTTCACCCCTTGCTGCAACTGTTGTTTTCAATTTTCCAAAGAAAAATTGCGCGTGACGTGATTTCCTCTTATCCTATCTTGATCAGTTAGCGACGATGTGTCCTAACAAGCTATACAATCAGAAAATATATGAATCCTTTTTTGTCAGTTTTCGTTTTGATAAATATATAGTTTAGGATTCGGAAGCTTCATTTGAACAAGAACGTCTCTATGGTTTTCGGGCTTCCCGAAGTTACTTGAATGTATGTGCTTTGATTTCCGTGACTTGGTGTAAAAATTGCACTCATCAATTCCCGGTGTGGCCTTTACTTACGTTCACCCGTTCAATCACATTAGAGTTGAAGGTAATCTACTGAATTTCAAGTTGATAAAACAGCCGATTTTACATTGGAAAGATGATAATAATAGTAGTATTTCAGCTGCAGCACTATTTTGGTAGGCAAGCGACATATTCCTCGAGGGAAGCACGACTGCTGAGCAGTCATGTAGTTGCCCAAGCCTGGACAAGACTACTCGAGAAGCCGGGGAATTTTTCAAAATATGGTCGGTAATTCAGGGCTTTAACCAGTGAGTTCCTTAGCTAACTTGAAACTCCGATTCAACTGACTTTGGGTGGGATGAAGTTTCGTCTTGTTCCAATTTGTTTGCTTAATGAACTATTATTACAAGTCCGAAACCATACCGATTGTCAATATTTTTCTCATGCTCTCATTATGTAGAACGGTGTCGCGTGTTAATTCTCCCCGCTTTGTTCCCACGTCCGCTAGGCTCGTTTACGACCAGTACATTACCTAGAATTTGACGCTCACCAAACGTCGAATCATTGTTCTACCTTGATATAGCTCACCCAAAACGACACAACAAATTGGGCCTTATCGTCGTGGCATATCATCATCATCATCATCATCATCATCATCACCATCGTTTCTTGTGGCACAGCCATGATTTATCTGAAGTTCTTTTTCTGAAGAAATAATAAAGTTGCACAGTGAATGGAATTAGTGCAAACTCACTACAATCACCCTCAAGTGCATGTGGCGCTTTCAAAAGCTGGTTATTTTCTCACTGCGTAAATCGATGGTTTCATTACGCTTCCGGGTTACCTAAATGAGTGACACCGAATTTCACGCAAACTTTGAATAAAAGTGTTAACTTATTTTATGGTTTTTGTTTGCACAAGCATACATTTGATGGACTCTCCTACATTGGTAGACGTTTGCACTGGAACGTCTCCCCCTAAACTCTGAAGCATCCCTTTGCCTTAGCTAACTTGAACTACCAAAAAGATTTCCTGCGGATGAAATGAAGTTGGAAATGTCTTCAAAATGTTTCGACTACTGGAGGAAATATTATCAGATGTCCGAAACCTCGACTATTGCTAATCATTTTTGCATATACCCAATAAATCGACAGGATCGCATGTTCCTCTGTTTCTGCTTTGCGCTCATGTCCATTACACTTGTTTAGGACCTCATAATTAACTAGTTTTTGCCATTCATCAAACGCCCAATCACTGCTACCCATTGATATAGTTCACCCAACAAAACTAGACAGATTCGACTTGATCGTCATGGCATAAAACATCATCAAAGCCATCGTCAAAATCATCACCCTTGTGGAGTTTTGTACGTTTACTTTGCTTCCATTATAACACTACTCATTTCGTCAATTGCATAATCGTTTTTTGTTTGAACATGAAAAACTACAAAAACGCGCAATGGTGCAATTTCACATAACACAAGGGTGGTCATGTTTTTCGACTAACCCTTCTGATTTCGCTCGCACTAGCAGCGGTCGTTTGTGAGTCTCATGTGCCAACTCTGGTAAAAACATTTCAGACCATCTTCGGAATCTATTATATGTGGGAACTTTTCGGAGGAAGACCCCTGGTAAACCGTAATTGGAGTATTGTTTATTCGCTGATCTGGGCCTAGGACAACTTATTTTAAAGACAAACCATAGTTAGTGGCTCTCTTCCATCTGAATTCTTTATTTTTCTATATCAAACCTAGCGTCATTATTTTCATTCTTTTGCCACTCTCCTGGTAAACTAGCTTATTGGGTGGCCAGACTACTGCATACTTGGTGAACCCGAGTGTTTCTAGATGATTTTTGAGAGCTTTCCCTTTCAAGTGGTCGTTATTCTGTTTCTTTTGCCCGGTAATTATGGAGGCACACTGTGATTCAGCGGATTTAATGGAGAATGTGATTAGCGTACGTTTACCCGAGTAGAATTCACATAACCCTAGGGTCTGGTTTCACTATGTAGAGGCCGCTTTTGTTACACGACGAATCACTCATTAAGCCCCTCGATTGTCCCATGTTGCCCAGCATCTCCCCTGTCGTGTAGCAACAAAAGTAGAAGAGCCGTTGGAAGATACTCCCAAGGAAAATCCCCATGACGTCCTTCGAGCGGCTGTCACCAGCAGGACAGGGAAGTCAGAAAACAAAATGCTAGAGGGCTTATTCACCACTATCGAACTTGGTGACAGAAAGCCACCACAACTGCCTAGCTACATTCTCCTCAGCAGCCGCAAGCTAGCGGTCGAAATAATGGCCCAACAATGGTCCCACAAACTTCTCTCTCACCTTTTCTGCTCTAAAAACACGAGTTATTTGATAGCCTTACTGTGAGGAGAGGGATAAATGTGGACACAGAACTGGCTTGATGTTTGCTCAACACAATCATTCTCGGTGCCTACCACTCCAAGCATGCATTTAGGCAAACTAGAGAGGGACTAACATTAAGAATGCCAGTAACATTGGACACCAGAGAGGCTCTGCAGCAACTCCAGCTTTATTTGGTTTAAAGAAATTCATTTCAACCCTGAGATTGTTGCGGCAGATTTTAGGGCTTCGAAAAATTCCGTTCATTTATGAAACTTCACACAAAAATATATCTGTTCAAATAAGAGTTTCTCAAAAATATGGATATCTTCCTGCCAGTCCGTCACGCATGCAGCTCTCTAGGACGCTGAAATCCTCTGTGTCTTCTGTATCTTACTCTATACATTTTCAGAAGTGAAACGGTAGGCAAAGTTGGAAGACGCGAATTACAGATCTTTGAGACTAAGGACAAAGACATATGTGCATCGGAAGCGGCAGATGATGTAGTTAACCAGTAACATCACTTCGTAAAATCTGACATCATCCTCTCTTTCCTACCCCAAGCATTATCAGGGCTTGGCAGTGAAAATGTTTATGAAGTTGTTTTACCTGGTAAAATTCGGTTATGACGTGAGGTACAAACCGTTTTGACTGTGGAAATGTTTTTTATTTCGTGACAGGACTTGTTCCAACCGAACTCCACATTTATGCAAACTCATTCCGTCATCCAAGTGGAATACTGATGATTCAACTGAAGATTCAACCACACGCCAACTCAACTATTGAGGCATTAAATGGCCTTCTCAGAAAAAACTGCGTCCCAAGCCGAGAAGCACCATGAATGTGCAGATAATTTAGTATAAGCGAGATCTTTTGCAATCCTTGAGTGGAAGTTGACCCTCAAGCAGACAGAGGTGTACTTTCTAAACCCAAGGCTAAACTTTTGGCTTACAAAGTTAATCTTTTTCAGGAAAACGCAAGGATTATTTATCCGTTCCATACCAGTTTCTCTGTCTACGATAGGGCGACAACTATATGTGTTCGGAACACCAGCCGGAGGATCCACGGTTCGTTTCCTGTGCAATTAGTGCAATTAGGTAGGGATGTATGGTGCTTCCTGGCTTCACTTACAGGACGAAAGTTTGATGATATTTTGCTAAATGGCTCTCTTTCCTTAAACGGTAGAAAAGTTCTCGTTGGACCTTCGAGGTCACTGGAGCTCGTGGTTTGCTGACCTTGAAACCCATGGGTACTCCCACAATGCGGTGTGGTTGACGATAATCATACATAAATCTGAAAAATACGGTTTCGTTTTACGATTCAAGACGGGTATGGCGGCAGAGAGGCCTACCCTTCAATCTCACAGAAGGTGTCAGGCCACATTACGGTTTGCGCCACCGGATAGCTGAGACATGGACCCTGCGATCAAATAGCCTGAGATATCTTTGGGTCATCGTTCAAAAGCAGTTTTCCCAGAATCAAATAATGGTGCAAACAAATGACCGTGAATCCACGAAGATACAATTCGTGATAGAGTGTACGGGGTTGGAAGAGAGATTTCAATCGGGGAATTCGTGATGATAAAGGGTAGACTTTGAGTGTGTGTATTTTCCGTGAATTTCCGTATGTGAATTTCCGTCCAGGACGAAGCATATAAATCTCACCCCAGCACTGATGAAACTTATCTCTTCGCAGTCACCAATGTGCATTC